TTATGCACAGATCTAAACAATATGCAATATGTTCTTATTTACAGATCTAAACAATATGTAATATGTTCTTATGCACAAATCTAAACAATATGAAATATGTTCTTGTGCACAGATCTAAACAATATGCAATATGTTGTGATACACATATTTAACCAATAAATTCTCATGGACATTTCTCAGCCAAAAATTTAACTGTAAACCTAAAAGTTATTTTTTGGATAAAAAATGTTAGTATTTTTGATCGAAAAAAAGTAAATTTTTGGCACAATAAATTTTTTTTCTTATGGCTAAAAAAAGGTTATATTTTTGGTAAAAAAGTTATATTTTTGGTCGAAAATGGTTATAGTTTTGGTCTGTTATATGTCTGTCAGTTATATGTTAAATATTTTTGTGTTTACCATGTATATAATGTTCATACTCATTATCAAAAGTTATTAATTTTATTGCAACTTCTATATCATCATTTGATATATAATTTAAATCTTGAGGATGGATGTAAGTTTGAAAGCTCGATCTTGAATTTAAGGGAAATAGACAGCTTTGCATAATAATAGCATAAAAAATGTTCCTCATTTTTTCCTTCCAAGAGAATCAAAAATTGTAACACTGTACTTGCAATGATTGAAAACACACCATCACCAGTTTGTGAATTTGATGGAATTTCCCGCTTTGTTGTTAAATCAACACTAGGATATGCTACTTTTTTTTTAACTCGTTCCTTAAAAGTTTTACTTTCCTACATACAACTTTAGATTTTGTAGTACAATGCCCTTTAAGTACATTATGTACAGCTTCACAAATGTTTTCGTCAGAACATCCTTTTAAATATTTTTTCCGCTCTCGCCTACTCAGTTCCCCTACGTCCCATAGAAAGTTAAATTTCTTTTTAATAATTTTAATTTTTTTCTCTTCTTATATTTATATTTCATAACCTCTTAGGTGCAATCTGGATTGATACAAGAAATTTAAGAGTAAGGCAAAAAAAATTTATTATTAAAATCTGGGTTGATACATGAACTTTTCAGAGTAAGGTAAAATTTTTATTATGAAATCACACGAGATAAATTTAAAAACTAAACTAAAAACTATTGATATTACAAATTATAAAATACTAAACTAAACAAAACTTTTATTTACACATTTTAATATGGAATTACATGAGATAAATTAAAAATAATAAATAAAAATATCAATGTTACAAAATGTATAACCATAAAATACTAAACAAAATAAAATATACATACTCATGAGATTTTCATCATGTTTCTACCTTATTACTCCATCAAAATCACTAGTTTCAACAGAGCCGTCACCACTTTGACTTAAATCATTTGAACTAGTTTCAACTAAGCCGCCACCACTTTGACTTAAATATTACTCACTTTTCCTAGGGGTTGAGTAAACTCACTTTGAAAGTGAGTTTATTCAACCCCTCTTACCCTACTTCCAGCTGCTGAAACTAAACCCATGATCAACCATGAAATAATAACCCTTGCAAATATTCTAAAGCTGATATTTGCTATCTCAGCAGGATTTTAGATTATTGAATGATGACTATACTAAATATAGATCTATACACAATTAATGTGTATTTTTCCTAACTCTGATGCAGGGCGAGGAAAGAAAAAGGAACAATGAAGTCTGGGACTATCCCAAAGTCCTGGTACTGTCCCCATGGAGTTAGGAAGACAATTGGCATAAAATCTAATGTTTTTTATCTAATAATGTGTGCAGGATTATTTTTTTTCAAATTAAAGAAAAATTGAGTGCTTTCTGAAGTAAATTATTTGGGAATTTTTACTTTTATCCTGGCTTGTGAAATAATAGGGTTTACATTAAATTTTGGTGTTTTTAAGAAGCTTATCCTTCTTTTATTTGATCAATGATTTTAATAAACCATTGTACAGCAGAAAGTAACATGGAGAAAAATTAGGAGAAGCTGTTTGTACTCATCCTCAAGCTTGCAGGCGAGTTTTTTTTTCTAAATTTAGTTTTTTATGCTTGAGCTTTTTTGATCTTTGTAAGATCTTAAATCATTTACTTTTTTTTTTGACTATTTATCATTCAAAAATGTTCAGTTCAATAGTACATTTATTTAAAAGTTAAGTCAATATCTTCAACCTCCATTTTTTTTGTTGCTGATGCAAATAGCTTTTTTATATTTCAATATCACTTAAGGAAATAAAACACAGACAGAATATATATCTTAATTAACTATCAAATGTGATCAGTACAAAATCTAGTTTTTTAGTCTACATTCATTAATTTTTACACTTATTGAGTTTTTCAGGTCAAAAATTTGTTTCACCTGCAGTTCGCCCCCTACTTATCCATCTATACTATTTTTGACTTGTATGCCCCCCCCCCTTTAGAAATTTCTAGCAATGGGCCTGCATGAGACAGTTGTAAACAACAATGTTATAGTGTATAGAGTGATGATGTACGCTAATCCTTTACTAATTCTATAGGCCATCAACTATACTTAGAGTGTACTGCATATTTGTTTATTATAAGTTGATTCCAGCCTAATTCCTACAGTATATCAATATTAGTAAACAGTTGTAGGTGTTCAGTTCAGCTAACTGAGCACACAGGAAGAGAACTTTTACCCCCCCCCCTGGTTGTAACAGACTTCTCTGGTGGCCAATAGATAGAACTTCACAACCAATTTTTATGTCCGTATGCGCTACAATGATTCTATGGCTACAACAACAACAACAGGAAGAAGACATTTTGAATAATCAGAGACGACTTTACGGAACATATACTATCTGTTTTCTTATAAAAGGCAACTGGAACTGTTACTTGTAGAGGCAGCAAATGGAGTAACCCCTGCTATTCAGGGCCTGAATATATAGAATTCTAGGGAGGGGTATTTACCCCCAGGATTCTAGGGGGGGGGTAAATAACCCCAATAACCCCCCTTATGGCCGCCACTGCTAAACTTGTTTCTTTCTTTATCCAAACTTTAAAGATGAAATACAAAGACTATTATTGAGGCAGAAAACTTGGAGCCTTGGAGCATATTTTAAGAGTTTCGGGTCGTCTTTACAGACTCATCTGAATAAATAAAATATAAGATATTCCGAATTTATTGAAACCAATTAAAACACCAATGATATCAACTAATTCACCAATCTTGACTCTCATAATTATAGACCAGAAGATGGTGAAGATGTAAGAGGAACTTTAGAGTTTTCTTTAATCCAGTCCAAGTATGGTGAAACCCGAGTATACACACCAGGGTACTCATCCTTAATTACAGATATCTAAATCTTGTACTAGTATTCAAACAATTATCTGTGCTCTAATTAAGTCTCACCGAAGTACAGTTTGTGAATCCAAATGCTACAATTCCTTAGTAAGAAATGATATAAGTAAATAAGCTTCATTATTGTTTATTAGATTTAAGAAATCTTACCAATCTGAGTAAAAGCTCCAGTGTTGCCTTTAATAACTAAAGGTCCTAAACAGTAATGTAAAAACATACTTGTCATTTTCATTTTTTCATTTAATTTTTTCATTTCAGTTATCTCTTCAAGCTTATATTACATTGTAGATATCAAAGAAAGATCAAATTAATCTTCAGATTAACAAATGATCAAGATCAAGATTTGATCTTAACCCTTTAAAGGCTGAGGGGTCTGAATCTATGTATAGCCTGGGGGGGGGATGTTTGGCACCCCCACCTAGAAAAAGGCCTTAGAGAATAGGTATAGATTTGAATTGCATATTCATAGCCCAATTTTTCATGGCCAGCTCAAAGAAAAAAAGTAGACCGATACTTTAATAGTTTGGGTGCTAGGGAGAGTGGAAAACAGGCCTACAAAAGAGTCAAATATTTTTTTGTTTTTATCAAAGTCCAGTCTGTGTAAAAAAATCTAAAATGGCCCATAAATGTTTTTGACTAAAGCTACTGATCTATAAACTATAGTTTTGAAAAACCCTTGAAAAATGGATGTAGAATAATGCGCCACACTTTGAAATTGGTTTAAAAAAAAACAAAAATACTTTTTTTCATTTTTCTGACCCTTTATTTGGCGTTTTTTTTCACCCTTCCCAGCACCCAAACAGGCTTTAAAACCCTATACATTTTCTCTAAGGCCTTTTTCTAGAAAGAGGCTTGGGATGCCGCCCCCCCCCCCCTCGGCTATATGTAGATTCATACCCCCCAGCCTTTATAGTGTTTACAGTTAAATTACTTTTAACTAGGCCTACCTAGGCCTACCGTGTCCTATGTATCCTGAGTTCAAATACTTAGTACCTTTCAGTAGATGTTATCACTGTGGACAAGGATCAATTTGAATTTGAACTGGACAGACATTAGTGGTGTGTGGCAAGTACCGGCTGATACTATCGTATACTGACTCTGTTTCAATTTTGAAAGCGCGGCCAGACTTTTTACAGTACCTGGCTTAATATAGGCATATTTGATCTACCCCACTAGGTTAGTTTAGTGTGCTATGAAAGGTTAGATGGACTTAATGTCTAATAAAAGATTAATTCAAGTTATATTAGACATACAAAATCAGTGTCGGTCAACATAAACCATAGACTAATAACAATACATGCTCTCTCTCTGTCTTGTAGTTCAACGCTGCCTGTGTGGAACTCCTTTTGGGCTTCTGCCCTCAGACTTATTGTGAACGAAAAACCTTTAAATCTTGAAAAGACAACATCTAGTGTTTTATCTGTATTGTTATTAATCTATGCCATTATCAATAGATTGCCCAAGTTTAAAATCCAGTACTCCCACCTCCAGAGTCCCCTTTACATGAACCCTTAGGTCCTTCTTCTTTAGCACACATTAGAGTCATAGCAAAACCACATGGCCACTTGGGTCCCTTCTTAGCATCACAGCAATCTGCATTACTCATGGTTTTTACCTAAAACATTGTACTATTCAGATTTTTAGATTACAATGATGTTGAGCAGATTTAATATAAACGGAAATAAAACACACTTTTTATCTATGAATTTAATGTGTCACTTTACTCTTTCATCGTCACAGAAAAAGCAAAACCTTGAGATTTTAAGACACAACAATCATTAAAAAATGGTCCATGATGGGTGCGGTGGCTTACATTTTTCAACAAAGCCTGATGATTTTTTAAGGAAAATCTAAACCAAAAGAGGTAAAATCTTGTTAACTATTTAAATCCATTTTAAATCCATTAAAGGCAAAAAATGTTTCTGAAAACAAGTGTAACAATTTAAAAAAATGACTGATTGTTACAGCATAAACAGAATCTTCTTGTGATAAATGTTGATACCTTAACCTCCATTAGAACATTGGTATTATTCCATTCCTCTGATGTTATTCCCCACCCAGCAACAATAGCCTCCATATTTTCAAACTCTTTTCCTAATAGACATACAGGGTAAAATATAACAAGATTAGCATTGTTTACACAAAACTACCCAGGTAACAATTTTGCGGAAAATCCGCGGAAATTCCCAGGAATCTTTTACAGGAAAATTCGGTGAAAAAATGTTGACAGAAATTCTGAGGAATTTCTCGTAACCCATTCTGGGTAATTTCTTGTAACCCATTCTTAGACATTTCTCGTTACCAGTTTAAAGGAATTTCTTGTAACCCATTCCAAGGAATTTATCATAACCCTATCCAAGGACTTACTTGTAACCAATTCCAGAGAATTCCTGGGAACTATTCCCAAGATTTTCTCAAGAGTTTCTCAGGAATATCTTATTCATATTCTCAGCATATTTCTGAGTAAATTGACTAACCAGGACTTAGACTCACTTAGACTATCCTACAACTTTTTAGGCTTTAAACCCAACTTCTTAAATTAGAACATTATTGTCGTTTTTTATCTTACTGAAGTTTTTTTTTTTCAGACAACTGAATTGTCAAGAGCAAATGAAAAAAATTTACTATTTTACCAAAATATTTTTTTCAAAACAAGGTTCTAAAGTAAGTTATCATTTTTTATTAATTAGGATGCAAAGAGAAAAAGATTTAGTAAGGGCAGTGCATAGTAGCAGGGAACCTCAGTGAAACCTATTAGAGAAAAACAGAACTTGAAAATTCTGTAAAATTGGTGATGAAGTCCTGAGAATTTATCAGGAATTTCTGGAGAAATATTCCTGAAAAATTTCTCAGCAATTTCTTGAGAAAAAATCCAGAGAAATTCTCAAGAATACTTGAAACTAAGTCTTTTTTATGTCCCCCCAAAATATTGTTAAGTTGGTAACCAGATTCTGAGAATTTTTTAGGAATTTCTGGAGTAATTTTCTGTAGAAATTCTTAGGAATTTTGTTCTGTTCCAAAAAAAATCTGCGAATTTGTGACCAAGTCCTGGGATTTTCTCAGAAATTTCTGAAGAAATATTCCGTAGAAGTTCTCAGGAATTTCTCAAGGAAAAATTCCTGAAAAATTCTTATGAATTTCTTAAGACTATGTCTTTTATTCAGTTCCTCTAAAAATCTTGGTGGTAATATTGGTGACCAAGTGTTGAGAATTTCTTAGGAATTTCTGGAGAAACATTCCGGAAATTTTCTTAGGAAAAATTCAAGGGAAATTCTCAGGAATTTCTGTAGAAATATTCCAGAAAAATTCTCAGGAATTCCTTGGAAAAAAATCCGCGAAAATCTTGGGAATCTCAAATAGGGGACCAATTCAGAGAAATTTCCAAGAATTTCCGAGGTATTGTTTACACGAACTTGTTTACAAGAAATTCCTCAAAGCAACAAACCAAAATTTGAGAACTTGAAGAAATTCTTTACTTTTGTTACCTGGGTACAAACTGGTTTATTTCATGTCTAACTTTTACCTTGAAAAAGTCCTGTTTTTCATTGCTTGCTTTGTAAAATTGTTGGATATGTGTACTATTTTTGCTATTTTTGTTTATCATTGGATTTTAGGAAATTTTGGATAAAAAATCTGTACTGTATAGTTTTAAAACAATGTTTACCTAAACCGTGTATGGAGGGCAAGCATACAGGGGACACTGTCTGAACAAATTATAACATTTGTCCGTCTCAATAATGACGTACATGTTTTTGCCTGTTTTTTGATAATTGTGTTCTACTAAAATCCTCTATTAAAGCCATTTTTCCCAAAAGCAAAATATTAATGTTTAATATTTATTTGTATGCCATCTTTATTTAACTGAAATACTTAAAAACAATCGGGTGTTTTGAAATTTTGAAAATTTGATTTGAAAATAGTCTGTCTTAATGTCAATCTAAAAGATTATTTGTGAAATTGGTTTGATATTTTGCTATTCAAAAAAAGCTTGTCAACAAATGTTTCAAAAATTTGAAAAAATTTCCGTTTAGTTTAAAAAAGAAATGGAAAAAGTTTGATTTTAGGTTTGTAAACGAAACAAATTTTTTTTTTAAATAACAAAATTTAGCATGAAAATTTGCTCCTGGGGGGGGAGGTGGTTGGGCTGTATGTATAAAATGCCTTTTTTTGGACTACGAAATGTGCACCCTTCAGAAGGTGGGTGGTGAGGATAGTAAAGGTCGGAGAGTGTTGTTAATGCCAGAAACAAGCTTAAAACAATTGATTTAATGGGAATTGATACCCATATTGTATGCCATGCTTATAGAATAATAAAAAATTTGAAGGTATTATTTTAGATTTAATATTTTTTACATTAAGAAAAAGAAACAAAAAAAATTGAAATGCTAATTCTATGAATTTTTTATGTTAGGAGTTCGGAGGGGGGGGGGGGAGGTTATTTTTGCAAGAACACCTTGATAATGCTGTTGGTTTACTTATACAAATTAAATTATTTTCTTATAATTAATCACAATTTAGAATGTAGTCTGAAACTGCCTAATTATAGGTTATGGTGTTTTCTTTTCCAGGTTTCTCTTTACACAAACCCTTAGTTTATCCTACACAAACCTTTAGTTTATCCTATACAACCCCTTTGTTTATCCTAAACAAACCCTTAGTTTATCCTACACAACTCTTACTTTATCTTACACAAACCCTTAGTTTATCCTACACAGCTCCATAGTTTATCCTACACAGCCCCTTAGTTTATCCTACACAGCCCCTTAGTTTATCCTACACACACCCTTAGTTTATCCTACACAACCCTTAGTTTATCCTACACAACCCTTAGTTTATCCTATACAACCCCTTTATTTATCCTACACAAACCCTTAGTTTATCCTACACAGCTCCATGGTCTATCCTACACAGCCCCTTAGTTTATCCTACACACACACTTAGTGTATCCTACCCAAACCTTTAGTTTATCCTACACAAACCTTTAGTTTATCCTACACAACCCTTAGTTTATCCTACACACACCCTTAGTTTATCTTACAGAACCATTAGTTTAGCCTACACAAACCCTTTGTCAAAGATTTACACGATCAGAATGCAAAGATATACTGGGTATCTCTGAAAAAAGGGGGGGGGGGTAACAAAACTAAATACAATTTTAAGTACAATAGAACAGAATTTAGTGGGCGAAAACCCAATTGAAAATCTACGGAAAAGAGAACTGGCACATTTTTTAATATTAGGCATACTTAAAAAGGTAAAACGGCGTAATAGAGACAAAACTTTTATCGATCTATGGACATTATCCCAATTTGAAGCACTATTAGTACGATAAAACGATGTTTAGTAGGCAAAAAAGCTAAAATAAATTTTTTCATATAGACCCTGTAAGTAATCAGTTGCTTTACACTCAAACAATTGTGATAAAAAACAAACATGCAATGCTTGCCATAAGCTCAGAAGAAAGACTAAAATATTTTCACTAACTAAATGTTCTATCCATGTCACTGAGCAGTATATAGACTAATGTTTTGGATATTATAAATAGAGAAAATTATAAATAAATAATCCTCTCTCTACCCTGTGACCAGTGTGTCGGTATTTAAGAAGCCCGATGGGGGCGGGGAGGGGTTGAGGGAGGAGGGTCGTAAAAGAAGGGGAGGGTTGAAATTCCAGGGTCCTTGTATTAAATTTTAAGATAAATGTTCATACCAATACAAATTGTTATTCCCATGAGTATCTATCTATCATAGAGAACAAATAAATTAATATTATATTTTATCACTTTTTATGAAACCCTGTTTTAGAGATAAAAAGATGTATTAATCAAAAGACTAAGGGGGGGAAAATCTAACTTTTTTGCCTCACAAAGATAGTTTACTTTTCCCAGAAACTTAAAGAAATGGGGATTTTTGCAACAAATTTACATAAAATATATTATATTAAATTCTGTTTGTTCGTCCAAATTTCACCCGTAAATGGCAGTGTGGGTATTAAAGATAGTTGCCATTCAGATTCAGCTTCAAGGGTGGGGGTGGGGTCACTCTAAAAACAGATGGTAGTTGGGGTAGTGGTAGTTAAACCCAGCTACTCTAACTACCGTCAGATTCTGCTTCAAAAGTGGGGGTGGGGTCTCTAAAAACAGACGGTAGTTGGGGTAGTTGAGGTAGTTGCATTCAAATTCAGCTTCAAGAATGGGTGTGGGGTCTCTCTAAAAATAGACGGTAGTTGGGGTAGTGAGGGTAGTTGCTATCCTATCCTCACCACCCACCTTCTGAAGAGTGCACACTGCACATTTGTAGTAAAAAAAGTCATTTTATACGTTCACATGGTTGGGTGGGTTTGGAATCCCTCTGTGATTTGTTTCACTAAAAAACAGCTTACACTTCTTCACTTATTATACATGATATTGCAGACAAAGTTTGATTCTGTTGATTCATGTAATTTGTAACTGTTAAATAGTGAACTGACTATTTAGAAACTTTCTTTTCCTTATTTAAATAATGTACTTGTGTTCCTTACCTCTGTAAAGGCGATAGGCTGGCACAGTTTTATTAATGATATGTCAAACCCCAAAAAACTTGACCTACTCCAACCCGGATGGATAATTGACTCACAAATGTTTTCATAAGCCTCACCATCCGGTTTGTCAATATCATGATCACTAATCTAAAAGTAAGAAAATTGGATTTATACTGTATTTCCCCCATCTAAAAGTATCCTTACTCGAAAGTAATTCTGATTTAAAATGGCAGTATAACTTCTTCGTGGGATGATTTTTTTTCTATAACAAAGTTTACATGTATCATCACTTTCTTTATGATATACTAAATGAAGTAAGGAGGTTACAATTCTTTTATAAAAAAGAAAAAGTCCAGTTCATTAAAATACATTAATGAATTGAATGTATATTTCTCTCAAGACAGTTGCCATTTTTATACTATTTTCTTTAGAGATGGTCCTTGAGGGCAAGGAATTTATAAACAGATTTTTTAAAAAAAATTTTTAGGCCATTTTGTTTGTACTTTTTTTCTAAAAACATTCTATTAAAAACAAAAATTGTTTTTTAACAGTTTAAATAAACAACTAGAAAAAAGTCAAAATGAATGATTTGTGATTGTGACCATAGAGAATAGAATATACAGAGAGGAATTAAAAGAATCTCTCGGTATGAATTTTTTTAGTCCCTTTCAGCCTTAAAGGGAGTTTAAAGTGTACAAATCATATAAATGTTCACAAATTATATGCAGTAGAGTACATTAAAACAGTATGTTCCCTAGACTATTCATTTCCATTTCGAATTTTTTTAAACTGTTAAATAAACTTTATAATGAATTAGTTGAAAAAAACATCATTTGATTTATAGTTATAACGGAAAATCATTGTTTGTAAAGTGGAAGGCATAGAGTCTATGTGAAATGATCATTGGTCAATTCTGAAACCAGCCTATTTCATAATTTGGTTTTCTTTTAACAATAATTTTAGATTTTCTATATAATGATATTCCAGGGCCCAACAGGTTACATAGTACACCTGCAGTATGGAAACAGTACAACAAAATATGGCCGTTTTACACTATTTTCCATTAAATTCCTCTCTATATATTCTATTCTCTATGTTTGTGACTTATTTTAGAAATCAATTAACCGACCACAAGTGGTTGCTGAGTTTTTACAATTTCATATCAGAGAAATCACTGAAAGGCCCCAAAACAAAAATTTTGAAAAATTTCATGTTATACATCATTTCTGAAATTTTATGCTTATCAAAAACTTTAAAAAGTTAAAAAACTAATTTTGTATGTATTTGGCTATGACTTATTAAATTTTCTAAATTTTAAAAAGTGCTCTTCTGATTTGAATTTACCATAAAATGTCTAAGAAAATGATGTACAACATGAAATTTAAAAAAAAATATATTTTGGAAAAGAAAATACTAATAATTTAAACTTACAGAAACTGCAAGGTTTGCTTTTGGAATGTTATTAGTGCAATGAGCAGCAGTAAGTATAAACTAAAATAAAGCAATAAAAGTAGTGTGATTAATTAGTTATTTTCAAATAAAGAAAACAACTTTGACCAGATCGTGATTGGGCTATTTTTATTATATGGACGAGGCGGATGTTTTCCATCCCACACTTACCCCTCTGTGATTTCAATATGAATTAGCCCTGAGAGTTTATGTAGGGGAGTGTAATACACATCCCTTGCCCAACTTTTCAAGTTAGCTCATTAAAAAAAAGATGGTTATAGGTTGCTAGGTAGTTTTTAAAAACAGTTCTAAAAACATATCGGAGCAAAATATTGAAAAATAGTTATTTTAACCTTTGCAAAAATGTGACAAATGAACAAACCAGACAAATTGAATAATTTTATGTCTTTCAGAAATGTAAAATTATTTAAAATTCATTAATATTTGCCTGATTGTTTATCAGAGATCCACCACAATTATGATAAAGCGTACCATTCTCATCTTTGAGAAATATTGAAACCTGAATATTTATTTAAAGTAATTATGAATTATGTAATTTTAAGCAATAGAATCATTTGTATAAAAAATCTTAAAGAATGTTAAAATTTTCATTTCTCGATCCTTAAAATAATTAACATCTCTAAAGGTCTTTGAAATTACCCGGTTAGAGAAATTACTCAGGAATATGCTGAGGAAATTTCAACAATTAAATTGTTCACGAGAAAAGAGATTATGTCTTTGCCACAAACTTAAATATTTCAATCTCTATATCTTTGCAACCTAATGGTGTATGTTGATCAAAGGAGGTCATTGTTAACAAAATTAAGGAGGGTGTTCAAAATTAATTGCAAAATGACTCACACAAATTAATTGATTCATGAAAAAATCTTTAAATTCAACAATAAATTGCGAAAATTGCCTTTACAATTTCCATTTTTTATGTGTGAAGACGACATTTGATTCAGAATATAAAATATGCCGCAAATTTGCACTATATTGTTTGGGTTTTTGAATTGGTTTGGTTTGATTCACGAGTTGCAAATGAAGGAAAAAACTAGAGCTAAGGCTCAAAAAAAATTTGGGGGCATAGATAAACCATTTTCAGCTTCAGATCTACCAAGTTAAGGTAATATTTAACAACTAAACAAAGGTTAATATTCATAAGAAAATATGAAAGCATATTTTAAATGTTGTCTTCATTTTCTGAATATTTTAATTTCTATTATTTTTAAAATCTGTTTATTATGCCCATAAAATTAGTTATATTGTAATCATCGTCAAATTATCTCCTCTCAGGGCTTTTAAGATTTAGTAAATCAATAGAAATATTTTAAAACTTAATATATCATGCTTAGACCAAGGAAACATTTTTACCAACTTGATGTTCCGATGGCAAAAGTGCTAAAAGAACCAATAAAGGCAAATATTTGATTTTTAAAAAGAAAGAAAGCCTTAAATGTGTATTCGGAATTTTTGGAGGGGTTTCTCTGTCTCGCAAATTTATTTAAATTTCAAACTAAATAGATATTCTAAAAAAAACGTTTTTAGGGAAATTTTGTAATTTGAAGAAGACTGCTGCCCCCAATTTTTTTTTCATATTTGGATTTCATGGGATGGTTTATTCGAATGTGTACATCAAAAAAATCAATTGATGACCTTCTCTAATATTGATATTTCAACTTAAGATTACTTCATCCAACATATAATTGATAGTTTGGAATATCTGACGTCTGCAGCATTGGGTTGCAAAGATATGAATATAAGAAAATTGGAGTTTGTGGCAAAGACTCAATTTCTGAAATATCAAAATTTATTCCACCATAATTCACCCAGTCAAATCTATTGTTGGGAATAAAATAATATAAATGTTACCATCCAAGGATATTTATGCGGCTCTGTAGGTTTTCCATTTATTATCCTAGAGCTGT